CACGGAAAAAAATTATAACTAAATAATTATAGGTAGAAATATTATAGTTAAAACAAACATATTTTAGTTGCATTTACTACATTTTTACCAAATACATTAGTCAAATTAACGAACTATAATTAGTTGAAATATTTTATCTTATTCAACTATAAATATAGTCAAAAATATTTTACTAGAAAAAAGTGGTTAATACAACCTTAAAATATAGTAACAATTGTTCGTAATTATAAATATAACCATTATTATTAATTATTTTGGTTTTTCCCAATGCCTCGGCGGCGCGGTTGTGTGCGTGTGTGTGTGTTATTAGTGTTGTTACTTTTCGTGATATTACCGTACCGCTATTCAGTTCTGACAATTTTAAAGTCAATTTATTGCTCTGTCCAGTGCTCTAATAATTGTGCGTTAAGTTACTTGGTGACTTTTCACTTTAAGCTGTCTTATTTATTTAAAAGTACCAAGTACCTTCCTAACTTCTTACTAAATGGACGAATTCACTGAACATATTCTGAAAGCATGGGGATTCGAAGACATGGTAACCATTTTTAAAGGTAATGTAGAACATATTATAATTATTAATATTATTTACAAGATATTTGTAACTTAAGTGCTTAGGTAATAACTACAAAGTGGGTAAACTGCATCTGCATGTTGAATTTTTGACTGTCGAGTCACTCGAGTACCTACGTACATTTCTACATTATGTTTTTTTCACCATACGTAGAAATTGCTTATTACTAAATAATATTATTAACATGTAGTTATACTAACGCTAGTAATAAAATATTGTTAGTTAATTCCATTTTCATTATAATAATATTAGTGTTTATCTATACAATTTACTCACACTACATCAATAGGTATTATGTAATAAACTAATATAGGTAATATTATAAATTTAAAACAATAAATCTTTAACATATTAAATACCTAATCTTGTAAGTAAGAAGATTATTAAATAAAGTCTGAATAAAAAATGAAAACACAAATTTAGATTACAATATAGTACACCTACCCTCGCACCTACCTATTTACAATATATATTATATATTTATACACCTACTGAAACATATAACAATTTAAATGTTGTCGTCATCAGAAAATACATTATCAATCTTGTTAGCTGTTAATATAATAAAGCTATCGACTTTAATTCTTAAAATATAAATATTATTCAGATGAGGAGATTGATCAAACAGAATTATTAAATTTAACTGAAGACATGATAAAAGAGCTATTTCCTAAAATTGGGAAAAGGTCAAAATTTTTTAGTAAGCTGAAAGAATATAAAAAGACAAGTCAAGTGAGTTTAATAATTTTGGTGAAATATCTGGTTTATTATATGTTGTTAATTTGATTATGATTCAATGTAGGTAAGTACTATGTAATTGCGTGAATTTACAAATGATAAAATTCTCACATTTACAAATTTCATTCTATATTGTGCTTAATTATGTATTCTATATTAGGGATTTTTGGAAGAGATAACTCACGTTTCTAAATTACAACCACAGAAAGATGGTATGGTGTTAAATTTTTTGTTATTTATTATACATTCAAATTATTATTTTATTTTTCAAATTAAATTTGTATTAAATTTGTAGTAACTTACGATGAAGACATAAGTCAGATGGTCATTGAAATACAAGAACCTTTTGCTAGTACAGATTTGTTTTCTGATGAAAACTTGTTTCCTGAAGGAACATCGAACGATCTAGACCCAATTAGTATTAATACTGACACCTCTGGTATATGTTACCACTAAATTCTTTCAATTTTTTATATTTTAATAACAAACACATTTTTATCACCTATTTTTATAATTTGTTTAATATTTAGAAAGAAGCATAATAACAGACAAAAAACCAAATTATATACAAGCAGTTCAGTCTGAAGAGGTAGAAACTTGTTATATAGCCAGTGCATGACTTGAGAAAAGTGATACATAGGGAAATTATTGAGTACTAATTGTTTTTTTGAATTATTGTAGCATACACTTCATCTGATTGACACCATTCCATCATGATGTTTGATCAAACTAATTTATTATTAAGGGTGTCACTAAAGAAGGGTAATCACTCCTAGTCTTAAACATAATAATCTTAACATTTAACTTATTTTAACACTTCCAATAGTCTGATATAGGTATATAGGTCATAGTAAGCTTTATTTTGTATTCAATTATGTCCTTCCTGTTATTTTTTTCGTATCATACACTGGTTATAGCTAGAATGCAGTCAATAATAATATTTTTTTTAAATATAGTTTGTAAATAAAATAGTGGCTAGCAATCATTTTAAAATCACAGATCTAAGTCCATTTTTTAAGTAATTATATTAGTAATTCAATAAGCTTAATGTAAATCATGAGATAAACTTGCAAGCCACTGGTTGCTCATCAAAGCTATTATAGTAATATTATTTTAATACTTACTTCTGTTTTTTAAATAATATTTTCTAGAATCCACAATCTAAAGTTTATGTCACAACAATATTAAATAATTATGCTGATGGGAAGTTGGTTTTCAAGTATTATGACACATTTGGTACCCTTAATCAATCTATGAGAAACACTCTAAGTTCAATAGTTATAAAACATGAAATTCAAGAATGCGAGCATAATTTAAAAATTGAAAAAAATAAATTTTCATTATTAGCTGAAGGTATACTTAGATACTTAATTGTTCAATAATAATAGTAATAATACCAAAGACTGTAAACCTCTACTAGGTATAATGTTATTAATATTTTTTGTGAATATTAATTCCAATTAATAATTTATAAGTACATGTGTATTATTATTATTACTATTTATACTTAATATTTAGACTAAACAATTGTCATATAAAAACATCTTTTTCAACCAATATTCATACTTCTATAATTTTTATCTATGGATTTATGACTAATAATTTTAATGAACTATTTATTTTATATATGTTTATCAATTTATGCATTATCATTAATGACACCTACTTATTTAATATAGGCATTGAAAAATTGTTTCCAAATGAAATAAAAGAAACTTATTTCACTCCATATTGTAAGGATGGCAATAATGTAATTCCTATGAAAGGAAAATTATATGACAAATATTGCAATCTAAAAAAACAAATAAAGAAAATTAATATTAACTCAAATTCTGATGTTGCTACGCATTCTGGTGATGTTGATAATCACAACTTTATAGATTCAGGTTGATTTAAATACATCTTTGATTTATATTAGTTTTTGTAACTTTTTATTTATGTCTTAATAGATTACGAGGATAAAATTCTATGGCTCAAAAATAATACTCAACCAAGCCAAACTCTTCAGACATATTGGGTAGAAACAGTTAGATATCGACATCATAAAAAACATAATTTAATGGAACTATATCCGGCTCTAAACAGACCTTTAGGCCATTTTTTGGTTAGTTTTTGTTAAATATTAATATAATTAGTTAAATACATAATACCTATGATTTTTAACCTTAAAATTCTAATTAGTTGCATACTCTTAACAAATAAAAGCAAATATTTACCTTTTTGATTACCTACTTAATATGTGTGGCATTTTATTGGTTATAATCTCAATTAATTCAATTTACTTCAGCTAGTTACCTATTATAGACATATGCTCTGTAATTTTTAATTTTCATTAATTTATTTATATTTTAAAATACTACCTATATTATCTGTTTTTGATTTATATTTATTTCAGATTGAACTTGATTTTAAACATTTATATCCTGAAAAAGATTTCAAACTTTTAAATAAAATAGATGTTTTCGTTGTAAAGCTTATTGAACATATTAAAAGTGCTAATTATCAATTTGGAATCCAAGGACCTAGTATTTTAAAAGAACTGCAAACTCCATCAAATCCTGGTAAATATTTAATTAATTAAAATCTTTTATATAATTTAGCAATATGAAATTATACATTATACTTATCAGTTTATTCTTACTTTTTTAAATAAACTGATACTATGTATTTTTAAGGTAACGAATACACAGCCGTTTTTAAATTACTGCCACTCTTATTTCAACCATTAACAATAAAGTTAAATGGAAAACGTAAAATTGATGGGATAACATCAGTTTGGAGACCATCTAAAGCAGAGCAAGCTGCAGCATTTATCACATTTATATCTGTAAATAGTATTAAACATGATTTAATTTAAAATAGTTCTAAAATTAATATTTGATGGATTTTTTTTAGGATGTTGGTGAATTAAAAATAGCTCATAAAGTTAAAGTAGACAAAGCTTTTGAATATGGGTTAAAGTTACAGCCATATGTAATTGTTATCAATTCAACTGAATTTTTTGTCGTGATTGATAATACGTACTACAAATTAGAAACATTGATTAAGGCTGTGGATGTATGTTTTAAGTCATTCTTTTCATTGAATGTTCACTATCCTACTGAATGTGAACAGGTATGGTTATTTATACAACATTATTTTTTTGAAATTAAACTTAAATCCGACAAATCCATTTTGTCTGTAAAAACGTTAGTTAATGATTTTCATAAATTATAATTGATATTTGTTTAAAATATATTGTATATTACTTATATGATTAAAAAGATTTCTTTTTGTTATTCGTAATTTAACTTTAATTTTGTCTTACCTTCTTAAAAGTGTAACAACAGACAATTAATATATTAAATTGTATTGAATTACTTTTTTTTTTTGTTCTTATTGACATAGGTATTATTTTTTTTAAACTTATATTTGCATAAAAAACTAAAGTTAAACACTCATTATGCCTATGTGTTTTATATGTAACCAAACATTCAGTTTAAATTCTAATTTAATCACTCATTTAAATATTTTTCACGATCCAAAATCATTGACGGAATTTAAATGTTTGGAACCTAATTGTTGTAGAGTTTTAACTACTTTTCACTCATATAAAAATCATTTGACCCAACATACAAATTTACCCGATGTTTCAACTTCCAATGAGTATTTGAATTTTACTAGGGAACACAAAACTTCAGCTTTACACGTTGTCAGTTGCCCAATTTTAAATGATGACATCCCTTCTAGTCATCACTGTACAGAATCAATTACAATTAAACAATTTAATAAT